TCTTAATTTGTGTCTAGCGTTAAAATATATTTATGGGTAGTTTCATGCTTTCACTTAGTTTTGGTTATTGGGATAAAAGCCATGACAACATTTTGTTATAAATTTATCTTAATTTAATTTTTGTTGAAAATTTTGTTATAAATAAAATTTGTCTTAAATATTGTTAATACTTTAGCTCTTTGAAAAAAAATATGTTTCTGGCTCTTCAATAAATATAAAATTATTTGTCTTGCATGAATGAATTTTGGTTTAGGATTTAATTGTGTTAGTTTATGTTTGTCTATCTGTAATTTATTTAGGTTATTAGAAAATTCATGTTTACAGAGTTGTTATAAATCATAATCGAGTTGTTAAACCAAGGATATTGTGGAGGTTTATTTATCATATATACTATATATATTATATAATTATATTGGAGGGAGTAAGTTTAGAAGCCTTTTTAAATTTTTAAAAAGAAATAAAAATACTTTTCAATATATATCTGTTTTCTTTGAGGTAGAATTAAAGTTTCAGTTTTTTAAAACTTTAAATTAACTTTACAATGTTAAAATGGTTTAAACGGATTTTTGTAAATGAATTTAATCCTCAAAGATTAAATTTTTTTTATTATTGAAGAAATTAAACTAGATTTAAGAATAAGTCGACTTAAATGTTTGTTTGTTTTTCTATTTAGATGATGACAATATTGAAGCAAGTAAGTTAAAAAGCATTTTTAAATTTTTAAAAAGAAATAAAAATACTTTTCAATATATATCTGTTTTCTTTGAGGTAGATTTAAAGTTTCAGTTTTTTAAAGTCATATATATTTTAAAATCTTATATATAACTCATATATCTTTGTTTTTCTATTTAGACGTTGGTAATAATATGAAACAAGTAAGTTATAAAGCATTTTTAAATTTTTAAAAAGAAATAAAAATACTTTTTATTATATATCTGTTTTCTTTGAGGTAGATTTAAAATTTCAGGTTTTTTAAATCATATATATTATAAGATTTACAAATGAGTCGACTTGAATGTTTGTTTGTTTTTCTATTTAGACGTTGGTGATAATATCGAAACAAGTAAGTTATAAAGCATTTTTAAATTTTTAAAAAGAAATAAAAATACTCTTCAATATATATCTGTTTTCTTCGAGGTAGATTTAAAATTTCAGGTTTTTAAAATCATATATATTATAATATTAAATTCTTTTTTACTTTAAAAATATCTATATTATAGTTACACTGAGTCGTAGAAAAAAAATTAAAGTTTATTAATAAAGTAGTAGATTATTAGAGTAGATTAAATTGTTTGATCTATTAATCAACTTAATAATGTACTATTAATATAAAGATTTATTTTGGTTGTTTGTTTGTTAAAATTTAGTTAGAGTTTATTTAAAATTTAAATTCTTTAGTTAATCAAGAGAGATCTAATAAAGGTATTAATTACATTAGTTGAATGTGGCATTTAATATGTATTTATTTGATATAAGGAATAAAATAATAAGGAATAGAAAAATTTTAAAAATTTGCTCTGGAATTTGTCAAAAGAGTGTTGTGTTATGCTTCATTTTAAGGTATCTAAATATATATTCATTAGAAATTTTTAATTTTGTTTTTAAATGGTTTATTCTTTTTTACTACTTTAGATAAATATATACTGACTGACATAACTTCATTTTTATTAACAATATCGTGCATTGTAGTCTGCATTCTTTGTTACATTAAAAATAATTGATGCTAATAAATGTTCTTTTATAGTTGTTAAAAGTTTGCATATATGTTTGCATTTATATTATGATCAAAGTTAAAATTTTTTTGATAAATACGTGTATGTGGTGATACTACTCAGGTATCACCGCAGCTTATCTCTATCAGGTACATTGATTTTTAATTCACATATGATGTTTTTCTTTGTATTTACTTATTCATTACATTTTTAACTTCAGATTTATGGTGTATTTATTTGCTATAGAAGAACAAATCATTTTGAATTTTTTAAAAATATCTACACCAATCAACATTTAAAATTCAATGTAGCATATACCAGCTTCTAGGCTTTTTTGATGCTTTTCTTATTCAAGTGGTTTCATTATCAAGGTCTACAAGCAAATTTGAGATAAAAAGTTTTTCAGCTTTCAAGGAGTATAAGTGTTGTTCTCTGTATACTTTAATTTGTTTAAATAGAGTAGTTTTAGTAAATAAATGTTTGTTTGTTCTTGGTTTTTTACTTATTTGTTATCAGATTCTTAAGAACTAGGCAACTTAGCAAGCAAGATTTATTTTATTTTTTAGTGCAATTGGAAAGAGCTAAAGTGCTTTTTAGTTACTTCAAATCATTTGTTTTTATTTTTTAAATAGAAGGGTTAATAATAAAAATATTTAGACAGTCGAACTGTTACTGATTTGAGTAAGTTTAATTTTTTGTTTAATTTTATATTAGATATATATTTTATGTATTTAACATGAAAAAATGACTGTAATTTTTGACAGGTAAGTTTATATACTTAAATGTGCCTATATATCGGAATATTTTATATTTCTCTGAATCTACATGAATATTATCTCAAAGAAAAAATTAAGAATAGAAAAAATTTGAATATATATACATACATATATATTACTTTAGACTGACATTGCTTCATTTTTTATACAAGATTCTGCATTTATTATTTTTGTGCATTAAGATTGTGCCTGAAGGCTTTCTTAATTTAGCAAAGAATTTAGAACACAATGCAAATAACTTTGCACTGTGTTCTAAATTCTTTGCTAAATTAAAATAATGTAAATAAATTTTGTTTTATATTTTTCAGTAGTAAAAATATAAAACGTTCATTTATTCAGTTGTAACAGTAGCATAAAAACTGGTAATATATATTTAATGATAACAGATTTATAATATTAGGCTCGAAGAAGTTATTAGTGTAAATGGTTATAGGTGACATGAAATTGTTGTCATATGAAAGAAATAGATCTAGGCATGATAAAATTAATTGTCGTTGAAATATAAGAAATTTTGCTTGATGAACCAAAAACTTACTTGGCAGAATTCAGTGTCAAGCGCTGTTAATGTCTATTATTTGACTTTACATTAGACACTTTAAAATAAAGCAAAGTATGAATTTTACTATTTATAGTAACAAATAATAAAAATTTCAGTTTTAAATGATTTTTTTTTTTTTTTTTTTTTTACTTTTGTAATCTTAATATAATTGTTCATTTTTTTTTTAGTTGTTTTTGTCATCACTTGATTATTTTGCTTACTGTTGAAACATGGTTTTAATTTTGTAAATTTAATATGATGTGAAATTTACAATATTAATCATTTGTCAACAGTTAAAGAGAAGCTGGAAATTAATTAAGAAATGCTGGAAATTAACTTTTAGTTAAGGTAAAAATAATTTTGTTTATTGGTAGCATAATAAAACCAGTTACTGTTATTTATTGCATGACTTTTTTACTTTTTCTAACATGGTGTTTTTAAAACACTTCCTCTCTCTCTTAGATGAGACTTAAATAAGAATTAGTATTGAGAATTGTAGAGAGAGAATTGATTGGGGGGTCGTATGGGTTGAATGGGCGGTCGTAACTAAAAACCTTTAAAAATATGGAGAATATTGTAGTTTTGCGCATTAATATCGAGTTACTTAAGTTTTATTTATGTGTTTAACTATTTAGTTAGCTTAGTCTGTATTTGCAACACTTTTGAGGAAAGAAAGAAAACATTTTTATATAAGTAGATCATTGTTTTACATTTTAATATTTTATTTTATTCACCAGGCCACCATTAAAGCAAAAAGAGGGAAGGAACCTCTTTATTAGAGCCAAAATATTTAGAAAAATTAAATTTCGAGTTACAAAAGGAATTTTTAGTAAATGGTGGCAAATTACCGTTTACTAAAAATTTAATGAAATAAAGAGGCCAAATAAATAATATGCAAATGGTCTGTGTTGAACAGACTTAACAAGACCCGGGTCGGGTCAGCTTGGTTTACAAATTTTTATGTCTACTTATCTCTTATAATTTTTATTTTAGTTTGTTCTATGATGTATTAATGTATTAAAAAATTTGTTATACCTATGTTTGATCATAAATTAAATTTTTTTTTTGTTTGAAAGGTATTTGTACTCAGTTGCGTAGTATAATAAACTTTGTTATTTTTTATTAATTTATTTAAACGTGTGCATTTAACATTTTTAAGTTAACAATTTTCTTTTCTAAAGAACAATTAATCAAGGGGATAACAAAAAATTGATAACTCCTGTATAATATAAGTTAACTTCATTTTAATCTTAATGGTTCGTGTTATAAAAATTATTTTAAGGATTTAGTTGACACTTTCGTCAATTTAAAGTATAACCAAGTGTTATTATTTTGCGTCAGTAACTAAAAACGTATTGTGTTAAACTTAGGAGGTCGATGAAAATGGTTCTGCCTTACACTGTTATGGCCTGTGCCATTTGTAAATTACTTAATAATGTTAAGTAGTAGTTGGTAAATTATTTTACCTCCTCATAATTTTTATGTTAATTTTACAGATGGATTAATTTTTTCAAGCTGAAGGCAATTTTCTAAAAGGGTATTAGTTAAGGTTTTGCAAGATTAAATTGTGGAAAACAGCTACTATAAATTAATTATGTAACAGACCGACCAAAACCCGTATTACGGGTTGCCTTTTGCTAGTCAATTATTATTATTAATAAATTTAAAAAAATAATTGCAAGAAATTATATACCATAATAAGTTAAATTAATAAAATATATTACAATTATTAGAATATTTTAAAATCAATTAAATATATGATATTTTGACAATGAAAGATTTACTAAATTTTAAATATATTATTTTATAAATATTGTTTCTATTTTATATATTTAAGATATTAAACGTTTTCTAATGTTGTAACGTTTTTTAATTCATCTAGGTTATAAAAATCTTTTTTATGGAACTTGACCTCCAACTTTATGATATTTAAACAATGAATCCATTTATAAATATCATTAATAAAATCAATGTCTTTGTGAAGTTTAAGATGTAATTCTTCGCAAAGATTAATCCAAGGAAGAAAGTTTTCTTCAAAATCTTTTTTTGTCATTAAATTACTTGAGATGTTTATCCCCAACCATTTAATCTTGTTTTTCGGTTTCCATCCTTCGAAATAAATAGGACAAGAAAAATCAACATTGCAAACATTAGTTGAACATAGAACTAAAAGATTTTTTTCTTCATCACTTAAAATATTTTTATTAACACGTAACCACCTTAACTTTCTTCCAGTTTTAATGTAATGATTTATGAAATAATTATCGCAAGAGGTTTCGTAAGAAGTTTTCCCATTGTTAATCCAAATACACCAATCAAACCATCGTTCATTGACGATTGATATTATTTTAACAGTAAACGATGATTGACTTTCATAAAAACATTCAATGAATAAATCCTTGTCGTAATAATTTTTACTCAGGCGATCTAAAGTAAAGTTAAATAATAATTATAAATATAAACAAACAAATAAATAATAATTAAAATAATTTTGTATACATTATAATATTCTACATGTTTGTGCATATATTAATATTAAATTATAATTTAATAAAAAATTATTTACAATTTATTATTTAAAATACATAATACTTAATAATAATACTTTACATAATAATATTTACTAAAAAAACAAATTCCGAATTGTTTTTTTATTTATTCCAAACTACATTGTAGTAACAATGTAGTTTGGAATAAATATTCCAAACTACATTGTTACTACAATGTAGTAACAATGTAGTTTGGAATATTTATTCCAATAACTGCAATTCTTATTGGAATAAATTATTTATTGGAATAAGTTATTTTCATTTTAATTGTTATCTAAATTTAGATGACAAAATTCACTAAAAGCCAACTATTCAAATGCAGATTAAAACTAAAGCAAATTTTTACGAGATAAAATTTGTTTTTGTTAAAAAAGCAACTGTTATTCATTTTAATTCAAATTTATCCAAACAAAATTGTAATAATTTTAACATGAAGTTGCATAATTATAACATGAAGTTGCGTAATTTTAACTTGAAGTTGCGTAATTTTAACATGAAGTTGCATAATTTTACACACAAAGAAACTACAGCAAAGTTTCAAGTTTTTCAAACAAAATTTTAATTTTAAAAGTAGAAATCGAAGCCCAAATGCAAAAAAAAAAAAAAAAAAAAAAAAAAAAAATACAAATTAAATTTTTATTTGAACTTTGAAAAAAAATATATATATACAATTTCGGACCATTCCCCTCCCCACCCTCCTGCATCTCCTCCCAAAATTAATTATCGATGCTTTTTCATTTTTACATTCGGACAAAAAAAAAAAAACATTTAGCAAAAGCTGTACTTTTTAATGTTTATAAGTATATATGTCCAATAGTACAACTATTTAACTTAAATTAAAGTTTAAATATGGAAAAATATCTTTAGAAAAATCACATAACCGTAGATTTAATGTGTAACAAACCTTATGTTAAAAAAAACTGTAGTAAAACAATATACTACAACTGTTGAACAAAATTTTTATTTTAATATATTTTTTATTTTAATTTAAGTCTATTATATATATATATATATATATATATATATATATATATATATATATATATATATATATATATATATATATATATATATATATATATATATATATATATATATATATACATATATATTTTTTTTTTATATTTTTTTATTTTAATATATTTCTGCCGAAAATAATTTTTCAGCTTTTTGTAAAAGCATATTTTTGCTTTCCTTATTTATAAAAAATTTTTCGGACGCTCTCTTTAAACTTTTTCAAAATAATCTTCCTTTGTAAATAATTTGATGTGATAAAAGATTGCATAAGCATCATAAAGCAAATTTTTTTTAATCATTTATGATAAAAAAAAAAAAAAAAAAAAAATATTTACACAAATATACTTTTACTTTTTATTAAGACGTTTTTTTCAACTCAGCAAACTTTAAATTAATTCTAATTTAAAACATGTTTAAAAACATGTTTAACAAGTTTAACAAGTTTAAAATACAAACTTGTTAAACTTGTTAAACATGTTTAAAAACATGTTTAACAAGTTTAAAATACATGAAAATAGTTGTTCTAAAATCGCATTAAAAATTGGATTGACACCTTTAATACTTAATACTTGCGCAATGGCTGTACATCTTAATAATGATTTTTCTTATATTTTTGTATGCTCATGCAACTTTAATTTCTATTTAATGTTCTTATAGAAAACTTTGATCTATTTATTCAAATTTCTTTAAAAAAGTTGCTCAACATTGTTAAACACACTAAATTAAAAAATCATAAAAAGGAAAAAGATATAAAATAGCTTAGAAAAGAAGCAATTAAAAAGATGATAAATTTTTGAAGTAAATAAATTTTTGCTTTAAATAAAATAATAACATTATAAAACTAGGCAAAAATCTTGTATTGCCAAAAAACAGAAAAAACTAAAAAATTAGAAAAGTTTTTATATTTTTTGAACTTTTGTTCAACGTTTTGATAAAAAGTTACAAGTTTTAAATTTGATAAAAAAATTAAATTTCTATACTTTTTATATTCTTTAAACATGTGTATATTTATCAAAAATAACTTACAGTATCGCAACAAAGTTTTGGAACTTACCCAAAATAGGCAACAAAATTGAAGACTCCTCATAAGACATTTTTGAAGGATTCAGGTAAATAAGAAACTTTAATAAACTATTTTGGTTTTTATTAGCTAATCCACAAATCATTGATAAACAACTCCTCAGCTTTGCATTGGCCATTATTTCATCACTACTTAAACAATTGTATGCATATACAGATGCACAAAACTCCATTATTGTCAAATGGGCGAATTGGTAATGATAGCCTAGATGTGTTTCAACCCTTTCAATAAAACCAAAAATATTTTCTTCAAATTCATTAAAGTCATTAATAAATAATAAAACTTCCTCTTTTGAAAAAATAAATTTATCTTCAATAAACAATTCAAAAGCTATCCTACAAATGTTTAATATTTATTTATTGTTTTTATTACATATTTCTTATTGTTTTTATTCTCCATCATTTGATAAACTAATCCGTTGTTTTTGATAATGTGTTTTTGCAGAAAATATAAAAAAATATTTGCATACAAGTCTGTCATTGTTAAGAAAGAGGTTGTATATATTTTATTTGAATCACTAATAATTTTACACATTGAAGATAAATAAAATGGAACAGATGCCATAACTTTTGCAATTGGAGATTCTTTCAAAATTGCTTTAAAAACATCTTTTTTTTTTCCCCTAACATGAGTTTCTACATAGTTATTTATCCCATTTTTGTTAAACCCCATTATTTGAACGGTTAACTTATCACTATGTTGTGTATATATATATTGGTATTTATACATTGCATAAACTCTACCAGCAACAACATGTTTATAATTTTGAATTTCTGTTAAAGCATTAACAATCGGATAGTTGCAACTTGAACTTTGATTTATTAACTCATTTAAATATTTAAATTCATCTAATCCATCAATTATAAACAATGCATTATGCTTACTAATATAAAAACCATTTACAATATCTTTATAAAAAACATGTAGCAATTCATTAATATTCGAAATATTTTGATATTGATTAAGCCTCCTGCATTCCAAATAAAAAACATGTTCAACATTTTTCCAAATTAAATTATTTGACCAATCAAGCAAACACTTTTTGAGCAACCATGTTTTCCCAATACCAGCTATTCCAGATACTAATATTACAGACTTTTCGTTCATAAAAATGTCACTGTATGGAATTGGTGTAAAACTCATTTGCTTTTCAAGAAATTTTTTTCGCTCCACACTACAAACAACGTTCATTTGAGCATTATATGCATCAACAATACATAGATCAACAAATTTATGTATTAGATCAACATTAGCAGATGCTTTTAATAGTGGTTGAAATTCATTTATTTTCCCATAATTTTTCAGATAATAATTTTTTAGTGCTACACATATATCTAAATATAAACTATTATTATCATTATCTTCTAGTAATTACTTGCAAAGTTAAATCTGTTATAAATAAAATGTAACGTAGTTTTTCTTTTAAATTCACTTCCCCAAGGCTGAGAAGGCCACTACAGACGAGAAGGCTACGTAATTATAACCTTCTCTCAATTCTATAATCCCGAAACACAAACCTTGACAAACAAGGCTGTGCGCAGAGAAACAAGTTGAGCGCGGTACTACCAGGGAATTGGTGGGGATCGAACTTGGAACATCGGAAGCATATGAAGTGAATGTTTTATTAATTATGCAAAGTTAAACTTTTAACTTTTTTTTTTAAGATTAATAAAATTTATAATTACTTCAAACTACTGTAATTACCTTTATTGACACGAACTCCTCTATCAGGTGAATTTGAAGAATCTAAATGATAATGATGTAAAGTTTTTACTGCAGACAAACTTCATTTATATTACAGATATCATTTTATCTATGCAACAAACTTGTTAAGTTAATATTGTGCGTAAACATGAAATTCGACTTTAACACCAAACTATCAAAGAATTAAAATGTTGTTTACTTTTTTAAAATATTTCTACAACATTACTACAACATCAAAAACATTTAGAATGTTTTCAAAAACATTTAGAATGTTTTTGAAAAGTGTGCTGAGTACTGCTATATCAACTGACAAATAGGCGCTTGCTTAAGTTTTTACAGGTGCGTGGGCAAGTGTGAAAAGACTTTTTTTTTGAGGATTCTTAACTGATAGATTTTAACTGTTTAAGCCTTATATTAATTCTCTGGTTGCAGCAGCTAATGTCATTGTTTAAATTGTATAACAAGAGCGCAGTACTTAAGGGTTAATAATTATTTTAGAATATAGTAAATATAGAGTAATATTGAATAAAACAAATTTTATAATTACTTTTCTTGGCAGAAAATCTGCTAGCTACTTCTGGTGAATTAGAAGTCTCTAAATAATATAAAAAAAGTTATTACTTCTAACAAACAAAAACTTTAAATTAAATATAGACATAAAGAAAACCTAGATCGGTGTCGTACTTTTATATAATCCTATAACATTTGACTAGTATGGGCACCCAAACAAAAAATTTTATAAATCACAAATTTAAATATTAATAAGATAAAATAAAAATTATGTTACATAACTTTTACATACATTTTGCCATTTATGTTTTTTAACAATAATAATAAAGATAGACTTAATAAATGTTGTTAACTTATATAAGTAACTAATTGTATTTATGAAGGAGTGTTAATCATTGAACCATGAGATAAAGAACTTTCAACAATTTGCTATGAAAACAAGAACAAAGAATTCAAACATGTAAAGCAAATTATGGATTTTAACAATTGATTATACCTTTATTATTGGAATTATGAATTTTTCTTTCTCAAAAAAATTCAAAATTCATATTAAAAACTAGGTTTTAATATATTTTTTCTTTCTTTATTAAACTTTGCTTCTACTTTTTTATTTAGAAATGCAATTAAATATGTTCATTTTAAAGCATGAAGAATTATGTATCTTTTTTAAAACAAAGAATTATTTTATTTTAATTCTTTTATAAATTAAGATTTAAACTTTTTAAAAGAAAAAAAAAAATATTTATTTTAAAATGGAGGCATTTTATATTTGTATAGACATTGTTTTTGTTAAAATATTGTTCATTATTTTAAGGTAAAAAAATAACAAAAAAAATCAACATCATGAATTTTAGAATGGTTAGACATACCACTGGGAAATCCCACAATAACATATCTGCCACTTATAAATCATCTGCCACTTATAAATGGTCAGTCAGTAACAATAACAAAGCCCAGCAACCTATTATTGGGTCAAACCTGCTGAGACAAACAAAGTTAATGCTATTGTTGGATGTAATATGTTAAATAAAAATAGTGAAGAGGAATCCTTCCTAGATAATGACACAATCGTTGATTCAACGACTTCACAGTGTACTAGTTTGTACTTAGGTGCTCATCACAGTCAACCACAATGGGGGAAAATGCACAAACTTGCATTTTATCTGGAAATGGATAGCCTTGTCAAGTATGATCCAAATATGGAGCTGTCTGTGACTTAAAATAGGGTAGCAAATGTGTGATGTTATAAGAACACCTAAACGCAAAGGCATCCATACATGGGTACAACTTGTTGACATCAAATATATATTAGGAGAATGGTATATTAACACTACTATTATTTAAGATAAAAATAATAACAAATAAAATAAATAGCACATGTCTATACAACTTGAACTCTTTATAATGCAAAAAAAAAAAATTATTCAAAAAAAATACTGAAAAAACTGGAGTTTGAGACATTATATCCGATACAGATTGTTTTGTCTCAGCACTTCAGGTATAAATCTTTTCCAAATATTTTCAAATAATTTTCGTATGTATTTTGTTTGATTCAAGCAGTCTTGCAGATATAAACAAATTGTTGCATTTTTCTGCTATTTAAGTCTGAAGATCATTTGTTAATTCTAAATGAACAGCTCTAGTTGTTACTTAAGTTAACAATAACTTATACCTTTAATATATAATATAATGTAGCTTTTTTGTTGTCTTATAAACAGAATAATCAAGACCAGTATATTTGATACTCATAGTTGATTGTATTCGAAATTGAGGATGATCAGGACTGATTGTTTTTGCAAGTATTCGTCCTTGAAAAAATTTACAAATTATGCAGTTATTTAACACTGATAGCTTTGCTGCCTTTTGTGACACTGAAGCTTTCATGCCTTGTGTAACACTGAAAGCTTTCCTGCCTTGTATGATTCAAAAGAAATTTTGTACTTTATTAAAATTGCTTATAACGTCTTGACAGAATACTTTTTTTGTGGGTATCTTGAATTTTAAGATAACATAAATAACTGTTTTTCAGCAAAATAATAGGATGCTTTTGTTCAAAACTAAAAACTTTACTATTACAATAACGTCTTTTAAGTCTTGTATTTTATTAACTTTTCATCATTACAAATGCCTTTTTAAATTTCTTTAACCCACATAAAAACTAAAACTATAATAATATCCATTAACTGTCAGTATACCCTTCGTTAATATTTTGTCATTAATACTTCTTATATTCTTCAACAATTTATTGACAAAATGTTAAACATATGAGGTAACTCTAACTAGGTTTTGTAGAGAGCTGTAGATGTTATATTGATTATATTTTTGAGAACTACCTCTTCACAAAACAAAGTACACTACTAGAGATATCAATCCAGGTATCCCGGGATCCTGAAATCTCTGGATTTCGTACAAATTGTTCATCCCGAAATTCCAGGATAAGTCTCCAAACCTTCCCGGGATTTCGGGATCATCAAAAAAAAGTAAAAATTAATATATTTTAGGCTTATAATTGTAATTAAGTAATTTATACATCGTCTTTGGTATAATAGTTTGTTTGGTTGAGTAATAGTTTATTCTCTTGTGAAATGTTTTCCATTTAAAACTCTCTTATTCTGTATTTTATTAAAAATAAAAACTCAAAACATTATTGCTTGTCTACAAAATATGTACGATCAAACATGTAAAATATAATACTATACTCTCTCTCTCTCTCTCTCTCTCTCTCTCTCTCTCTCTCTCTCTCTCTCTCTCTCCCTCTCTCTTCTGGTGGAAAGAGCAAGTTTTTTAATAAAAATTTTTAATATCAGGTATACCTTCTATTAAATTTTTTTTTTCAGGGCAGCAGGGGCACTTGCTGCCCACCTGGTTGACACTTTCTTTTCTTTTTTCTTTTTTTTAGTAAATTAAATTTGTTTTGCGATAATTTAATCCTTAAATAAAAAATAAAAAAATAATTTTATGACGTCTAAATCATGACAAGCTAATGTGCTAAACTGTTCTTATTCAAAACAAGGCCTAAGGAATTTTTTTGTTTCAGTTTGTAATTTTATTTTAAAATTGTGCAAACTACTCGATAGTCAATCAAACTAAAAAATTAAAACACAGCGACAAAAGTAAAAGTTATGACCTAAAATTACTTGACAACTGGGAGCAAAAACCTAAGAAATCTAGACATTAGCTTCTTCTTTGTATAAGAAGGAGATTTATACATAACTAATATATGTTTACTATTTAACAAGTTTATAAAAATAACATTTTTAAAAGCAGTTTATCTAATTACAGTAAATCAAAATGTAATGTACATTTAAAGGTTAATTTGTTAAAACATGCCTTTTTATCTTTCTCTTCATTTTGAGACAAAGAGCAAGAAACACAACAAATACAAATGTGTGTAAACAGAGAATACTGAAACCAGATTGTGATAAATTTTGAAATCTAGTAAATTTTGAGTAATTTGAAAAAACAAATATTATAATTACCTTTTTTGGCAGAAAACCTGTTAGCAACTTCTAATAAATTTGAAGTCTTTAAAAGATATAGTAAAGTTAATACTTCTAACAAACAAAAACTATAACACTAAATATAGATATGGAGCATATGTAAACATATGTATATATATTTCTATCTTTTGCTTAAATTGTTGTTTGTTTTTAGGGGAAAAAAAAAGTAATTACTCTGTAACTTTTAATAAACTCAAAGTTTTAAATTGTTTTGTACTTACTATACACTGCGAACCAAAAAAAAAAAAAAAAATCTTGAAAAAAAAAGTTTAGCTCTTTATCTTACTCGGATATTTGATGAACAAGTAAACCACCAATTGTCCCCAACCTTTACAGATTGAAAAATAGAAAAAAAAAGGTCTACGAAGGTATAGGTATATTCTGGTAAAGTACTAAATAAAGTATGTTCTGTGCTTTGAGTCAAGATCTTTAAAAAATCCAAAATTTGACTTGAGGATTAAAAACAAAAAAATACATAAAACCATTGTCATCGCCAAGTTCTCTAAATCTATCATTCACTAATATTTGTGGTCATCAAAGTGGTCATCATTCACTAATATTTGTGGTCATCAAATCTATCATTCACTAACATTTGTGGTCATCAAATCTATCATTCACTAATATTTGTGGTCATCAAATCTATCATTCACTAATATTTGTGGTCATCAAATCTATCATTCACTAATATTTGTGGTCATCAAATCTATCATTCACTAATATTTGTGGTCATCAAATCTATCATTCACTAATATTTGTGGTCATCAAATCTATCATTCACTAATATTTGTGGTCATCAAAGTAACTTTATTTCTGTTGAGTCTGATTTAAAAGTTCATCATTTACTTGCTCTTTGTGAGACTAATTTGAGTTCAGTTGCCTTATCTTGTGATCTTAGTGATTATTATCTTCCTTTGATTTGTAAAGATTCTGATAGCCACATGCTTGGCTTGGGCACTTACATTCCTATGAATTCAACTATTTTTCAGGAAACTAGGTTTGAATCATCAGTTTATTGTTTTATGTACTTTTGTTTGGAACCACTTCACTCTATCACCTTTCTCTTTGTTTTATATTGTTCTTTTTTTATCTCAAGAATGCACTCTTTTCAATGTTAATTCCGATCATTATCCAAGCCCTTTTTCTTTATCCTTCAGCCAATATAGTTATTCAACCAATATTGTTCCTTTAATGATCATCATACTGAATGACTTGGCTTTAGTGTCAAAGATTTTGCAGGAGTAAAAGCCCCTAACGTTTGCCTTTTTCAATCTCTTAAATAACTAATCAATCTTCCAACTTGCTTTCCAGACAATCCAATTTACCATAAAATAAATTTACTTTCTCTACTTGACTTGATTCTTGTTTCTGATCCTAGTCAGAGCTCAGCCTCTCCACATTTACCCTTAGGTGCTTTTGACAACAGTTTGATCATTCTAAAACTATTTTATCAACCTTCTTCATCATTAGAATCTTCATGTTTTACAACTACTGAATAGCTGAAATAGCTGCAATAGGACTCTTTCCATAATTTTTTAATGATGACTCTTAGAAACCTTTTGTATTCTTGCTTACAAATGTGCTTCTTATGTAACTTCTTGGATTCAGACTGGATTGAAATCTTTTATTCCCTCTCAACAATTCCAAGTTAAGCCTCACACTTCTCCACGGTTTTTCTCTCATTGTGTTGCTGCAATATCTAATCATAACTATTACTTCCGTATTTATCACTAAAACCATTCTCCCAAAAACAGGCATCTGTTTACTATTACTAGAAACCATTGTAAAATAATTTTGTCAACACAAAAACCTGCTACTCTCAGGTCATAAAGTCTCGCACTTAATCTCAAATATTGGGCTCCCAAGACTTCTGAATCTTCAACAGTGTCTATATAAAAGGTAAAGTTTTTGTTACCTCACCTAAAAACAAAGCTGAATTGTTTGAACAAAGCTGTTTGCTGAAAAATTTTCATTAATCTTATCACTTGTATCATTGTATCCTACCTGATATTTGTTGATCCATGGCTTACATTCGTATCATTCCAGCTTCTGTATCTAAAGTAATTTCTTGCTTAGACTCCTCTACAGATTGTGGTTGAAACAACATACCTGTTATAGCCTTGCAAAAGTGTTCTCTTGAGTTGTCATCTATCAAAACTGTCATTTTTCAAAACAATTTAACAAGTGCTTATTAGAGTCTTGTTTTCCAGCCTGCTGGAAAGCAGCATTTGTAATACCTATTTTCAGAAATTATGGAGAGCAATCTGACTCGTCTAACAATCGCCCTATTAGTCTTCTTACTATTAAAAGCAAAACTTTTGTATCTCTAATTAACAAATACTTAATCTATCATCTTGAACCTAATAACTTATCTTTTGATCATTAATATGGATTTCCATTTTCTCGATCTGCTACTGATTTAGTATATGGAAATGGTAATACCTGATAGGTTTTATCATGCATTAGATAGGTGTGGAGATGTTGGAACTATCGCTCTCTACATTTCTAAAGCCTTTGATAAAGTTTGGCATGCTAGACTATTATTGAACTCTTCTTTACCAATTTCATTATAAAAGTTGTCATTGATAGACAGAACTCTTTTTTATTTCCAGTAATTTAAGGGGTTCCTCTAGGTTCTATTCTGGGCCCTATACTTTTTTAATTTACATTAGCGATATCCCAGAACATCACACGTCTAAAGTGGCATTGTTTGCTGATAATACTACCATTTATTCTTATAAGAATAATAACAAGGTAAAAATGATTGCTTGGAGGGAGCATTTGAGCTTGAAAAAAAAAGCTAAATCGACAAACAAACAAACAAAACAAAAAAAATAGTTGGACCTGCTCCTACAGCCAACTTTGAGCTATTGTCTTAATATTGCTTCTTATTCTCTTTTCTATAAATATTATAATGAAATCTGGTCTAAAAAGCTAGTACTTGCTGTACTGTGACTGTTGCTTCAAAAACTCTTTTTCCTCTAGTTTTTTTCTTTGAACATCATTTATTTGGAATTTATTTCTTTTATTTTGTTTTCCTGATTCATATAACTTGCAATCTTTTAAACTTCACCTTTTCTCTTCAAAAACTTCCAACTCTAATAGTGGTTGCTTGCAGCCTTGTTAAAAGTAAAGATGTTTTAAAAAAAAATTAATAATTTTAAAGTTCTAATTTTTGTTATTCTTACTTTCTCTAGTTACTTTATGAATCATTCATTCAAAATATACATTCATTGAATGTAACTTTAAAAATTCTTTTAAGAAATAATTAAATAACAGCAGTGCTAGTCTCACTTTTCAAGATGAGGTAAGTAATTCACTTAAATTGAAATCAACTATATGCTTTTCTGATATATCAAAAAATATCTATCTTGCACCATGTAATCCTCTTATCAGTAAACCTACCAGTGCACAGTGGACCAGAGGTGAGCAAAACCCCACAAAACTACTTCTATATTGGAGTAATTTATTTTTGTAAATGTAATCTAGAGACCCCCAGCACTCTAAAACTGATATAACCTTTCCCTACTATAATTTTAGAGCTCAGTATGTTAATTTTACCATGAAAATTGAAATATTTTACCTTACAAATATTGGTAAAAATGTAAAAAATCATATAAAAATGGAATATATGGCCAACAAGACAACTTTACAACATTTTAATTTATTATTAATTTATATTAGTCAATTGACATCATAAATTAAAAAAAAAGGAAAAGAATTAAGAAAATTTATTATTTATGCTTGCTTTTTTTTCAAAGTGCTTTTCAATAAAACACCTTAAAATGCACCACATGTTTTTTAACACTTACTTTTACACAGGTAGAAAAACGCTAGACCGCATTAGGCCGCACATGTGACCTACTTTAAATTACACTCATAAAAAAATAAAAATTTGCAACCAAACTTTTTAAACTCAGCTGAGCACAGTAGGTGCTAGTCTTTTTATTATAAATGATATCTAATTGTAAATATTGCTTTAAAGACGCATAAAGAACGGATTTAGATTTTTATTTATTTAAATCATGTTAAAATCTAATTTAAATAGCACTTTTAATGTTATTATGGAACATACTATGACTACTATGTGATTTTAGTTATTTTATTAGTAATTATTTTTGTTATGTTTAAGCTGTTTTTTAATGTACATTTTTGTGGATTGTTGTATTGTGTTGATTTTATGCGAACATGTGTAAAAAGATGATTTATGAAAGAGAAGATTTATTGTTTGTACTTATGTATACAAAAAGTTTTTATTTATGAAAGAGAAGATTTATTGTTTGTACTTATGTTATGTTTGTACTTTTTATTTATGTATACAAAAAGTTTTTATTCATGTAAAAAGATGAGTTTATTAAAGAGAAAGTTTGTTTACAAGAAAAAAGAATTTTGATTTCTCTTAATTTTGAAAGCGGGAAAACTACAGTCTAGAACTTTTAATTTTAATGTTGTCTAAACAACTTTTCTAAAATGCCATTTTTATCTAGAAAATTGTACTTTAAACAAGTCAAATGTGTTTTGCTCATTTAAATAACACCCAAAAATAGAAAAGCAATAAATTATTGGTGAAAAATAGTCATACACTAATGTTTTACAATAAAACAACAGAGAGCACTACACAATGAAATTCTCCAGGCCTCAAACAAACTAAGATCTTATGATGAAAATGCTTTGCAGCTATGTTATTAAGGTGTCCAAAATAAGGAGGAGTCAAGTCAAAGACTCCAATCAATCTGAGGTGGCCAAGAAGCTCTTGTACTAATGTATGATATATGCCATCACCTAGATATTTATATATTAGACAAACAACTGTTTCATCTAATTAGAAAACCATAGGGACATCCCAGGACCATCCTTGATTACCCCTAAATATACCACCTGTACAATTATGACCACTCCCAGAGATCATTTGTCCAGATTTGATTTTTCTGATCTCAATTACCTATATTTAGACATATAACATGTACCATCTCATTGAAAAACCATTGGTATATAATAGGACCATCCTTTAACCATCCTTGGCCACACCTAAAATGATCACTTGAGCAGTCATGACTCCTGAAGACAGAAAATGCTTTCTTTATTAAACTTTCAAATTCCCTCACTGCAATTACCTATATTTAGACATACAATATATCCTATTTAATTGGAAAACACTGGAAAATCTCAGGACCACCTTTGACCACCCCTAAAAAGACCATTTAAGCAATCATACTTACTTCTAAAGACCGAATATGCCTAGATTTGAATTCCCTGACTGCAATAAAGTATATTTAGACAACATGTCCCATCGAATTTAAAAACCATCAAGACACCCCATGACAACCCCTAAAATAACCATTTGTTTGGTCATGAACACTCCTAATTTAAAATGAAGCCCAAAAATAAAATCCTTGGCCCTAAAAATCCTTATAAACCTGTATCATAGGTATATTACCCCTTAATAGTTTTGCCATTTTTACACAATTCTGACCCACTGTGTAGTGTGGTGGCTAATAACATTAACATTTGTATCAGGTTTTCTTCAAGCTAAGCAGAATTTTTTTTTTGTACATAAATAATTATAAAAACTATAGTGCAATTTATATATAGTTTGCTTATGGAATCATTAAATTAAAATGGCTGCATAAAATTCAGTTGCCAACTCTACTTTTGTTTATTTACAAGAAGAAATTCTCTTAAAACTCGGGGACATTTTCTCGGGGAAAAAGTCGGGGACATCTTCTTAAACTAACACATCAGAAAATAAAACAATAAAATATAGCAAAAACATTTGCTAAATTTATAATCTTTTTGTACTAAAAAGTAGAAAATAAACTTTTTAATCTAAATTTAATAGTTCCATTAACTAAAGATTGACAGGTCTGCACAAGGTTTATTTAAAAAATACCTTTAGTTCAATCTTTAGTTTACGGAACTATTAAATTTAAATTAAAAAGTTTATTTTCTACTTTTTAGTACAAAAAGATTATATTTTTAGCAAATATTTTTGCTATATTTTATTTTTTACTTTTTAGTCTTTACAGAGAGTTACGATATTTAGCAATGCGTTTGTCTAGACTTTTGTAATTAAGTCAAGCTTTTTATCCTAAAGAAACGAAGTATTTGCTGTTTAAGGAGCAGAATATTTTTCTTTTAAAAGATAAAAATTTTTTATATAAAAGTAAAATAATACAAAGTACAAATATTTCATTTTCATTGCAACCTGCATCCCACATATGCATTATATTTTTATATTAATATTAAACAAAGTTAACATAACTTTGTAAGTTACTTTTTCGATTTTATTAAAAAAATAATATTTCAAAAAAAAAAAATTAAAAAAAAGATTTAAAAAGAAATACAAACCCACAAGCAATCTTAGCCGATTTTAAAAATAAAAAAATTTATTTTTAAAAGAGAACAATATATATTTTAAAAAAATTACAAACCCACAAGCAATATTAGCCTATTTTAAAAATGAAAAGATTTGATATCACTATTCTAAACAAACCCGAAAGCAATTTTGTGGCAAATTTTTACATAAAATATTAGTTTTTAGTGGACAACAAAGAAAATTGAGGAAAAGATCATATTAAGTGAAAGAAAAGATTATAAAATATTAAATTTTTTAGCAAATGTTTTTTGCTATATATTTATTTTCTACTTTTTAGTCATTACAGAGAGTCACAGTATTTAGCAATGTCAAGACATTTGAAATTAAATCGAGCTGAATGTGCGAATGGTGTAAGTATGAACTAGCATATATGCAAATTGGCATAAGTGCAACGCAGTTACAAAAACTGGCACAAGAGCAAACTGGCATAAGTGAGCCAAAAGAATTTACAAACATTGGCATAAGTGCGCCAAATAAAATTGCAAATATTGGCATAATGCAAGTTGTTATTTTGCTCTTATGCAAATTTGCACTTATACCAGTTCGCACTTGTGCCAGTTTTTGCAACGCATCGCACTTATGCTAGTTTGCACTAATGCCAATTCGCGCTTATTAAGCCTCCCGGATAAAAGTGCAAACTGACATAAGTGCGCTGAATAAAATTGCAAATATTGGCATAATGCAAATTGTTATTTCACTCATGCTAGTTCGCACTTACGCTAATTCGTGTTGGTTAAGCCTCCCGGATTAAAGGAGCAGAATATATATTTTTAAAGGATAACATTTTTTTATATAAAAGTAAAATAAGATATAGTATAAATATTTCATTTGCATTGCCACCCTCGTCCTCCCATTCTTGTCCTCCAACATATGTAATATATTTTTATTTTAATATTAGATAAAATTATGCTGTAAGTTATATTTTTCAATTTTATTAAAAAAAAAATTTTTTCAAAAAGAAAGTATTAAAAAAAAAGATACAAACCCACAAGCCCAATATTAGCCGATTTTAAAAAATTTATTAATGAATTGTAATTACTCTTTAATAATAAAACAAAGCACTTTAGAAGCAAATTTTTATATAAAAAGTTTTTATGCGCCCCTTGGACAACAAAGATAGTTGAGGAAGAGTTAATGTTAAGTGAAAGAAAAGATTATAAAAAGAACTTGTATTCAAAATAATAACAAAAAGAATATTTGCTACTCAAAGATTTAAGAAGTAAACTTTCTATAGAGCCTAATATTTTTGATCTCATTTTTGAACTTGTAAATTATATTTCAATTACTATAATGTGCAGAAGAGTAAGTTTTATGATATTAAAGGCATGTGTTATTTTACTATAGATAATGGTTTATAAAGCAACCATCAAGAGTCTAGATAAGTTCATGAATATACAACAGTAACAATTTGTAGCTATTGTTGAAGATATTCTTGAATCTAATTATAATTTAAGAAAAATCATAGAAAAATTCAACCTGTCTCAGTTTTTAAGTTACTTTTAACTTGAAATGTGGAAATGTGTTGTATGACTTTAAAAAGCATGTTTATTGTGTGAAGTTATATCTATATTATATTTAGGCACAAAACGAATTCTTGGTAGAATTGATAATCGGTCCAGTAAATATTCAACCAAAATAAATAAATAAAATCATCCATAATTAACTTTATAAACAGCATTTTCCAATTTTTCAATTTTAATCATGATTTGGATTCGCATATTTAATTAGGCAATTCTTTGTTTGACCAATATTTAAAAAAAAAAATCAGATAACTTGGATTCTCTTCAAATTCTATTTAGAGTAATTTACTTGTTTGATTTTGACTTTCACTATTTAAGAAATTTCCAGCATGTAAAACATTGTTGTTTTACAAGCAAGTTACAAACTAGAAAAATTGAAAAATTGCTTGCTGCTGTGTCATGTACAGCATTGCGTGAAACACCATAACCAAGGATTAGTTAACTTTGCTAAAAAGTGTGGAGAAAGTATTTATGCAAAGCTTAAATCAATATGTATGAAGCTTAAGAGACATATATTCAACATAAATGAATGTCCTGTTATTGATATTTATAAGTGTGGTGTTGTTGATGGTATCTACAATAAGTCAAATATTTTTAAACTACAAAGTTTTTTAAATATTTATGTTTATTTTAAAACCTCATTTGCCCATAATAAATGTGAAAAATACTTTTAGGGGTGGAACCTCCAGTTTTTGTCAGGCCCTGTAGCTGACTGAAATATCATATATGTTTAACTTGAGCCGCCCACTTTGAAAATCAAAAGTACAGTATTTTTAATTTAATGGGTTTTTTTTCTCGGGTGAAAAAAAAATAAAATTTAATAATTGACTACTAACAAATGACTTATAAGAAGTGTGTAATTAAAAATGAAAAACTTAAAAAAAAGTGAAATTTTTTATAAAAAGAATAATTTTATCTTTTTACAAAATGTTTTATAACACTATGATAAGACTTCTTTTTTTTTTAGAAAAAAATTTCCACATGCATCATTAATGTTTTTTTATTACATTGTTTGACAAAGTGAAGAAATTTATTTTACTAATGAAAAAAAAGTTAAACTTAATTAATAATTCATGCACCTCTTCACATGATTCACAATGTTTACCTTTCTTAACATTTAAAAAAAATGATACGTTAACATTTTGAAATGAAAAAAAATGTAATTTTGAAACTCATTGTGAATTGAGAAAAAAACTTGATTCAAAACAAGACTGTAATGTTTACACTTTTTAAATATATTTGCACTTTGAATTGAAAAGAAAACAGGTTTTAAAATGCAACAACAAGGTTTTAAAAACAGTATAGTTACACTTTCAAATATTTTAAACACATGCATGTCTAATTTAATTAAAATCAGCTTTTTTCTATTAGTAATAATATAATGCACTGGAGTGAATTCATTTTTAAAGTGTAAAATTCACTTTTATTTTACTTTTATTAATACCTTTTTAAAACTTTCTTTTAAATAATCACAAGGAATAAAATCTTCGTAATTAAAAATATGTTTTTATTAATAAACACTTCTTTGTAAGTAACAAACTGTCTGGTCATCCCCTCTAGCTATTAATAGGTTGTTTTTTTTTAATTTAACTCTCCCTTCAAAAATATACAAGTTGTGTGGCTTGACAACCATAAGGTTCTACCCACTTTAATTAAAAACTTAAAATACATATACTTCAAAGTTCTTAAATGGGTTAAAGGTCTTCCTAAAACCTTTTCAGGCAATCTTGAACATATTTTAAAAATCATATTTCTAAATCTACAGGACAAATACCCTTATGTTCGAAAGGTTTTGTGCCACAACACTAAACCATGTGGTTTCTTTAGTTCAGTAGATATAATATATATTATATTATTAGTAAAACTTTGTAAAATACCATGTGTACCAAAGTAGTTTATGTCATTTAGGGCAGTATAAAAAATATTTAAAAAAACAGCAATAGTTTCTTTTTATTTCACAGAGATTTAATAATGACATAAATGCATGTTTCATGATTAATTATAAAAATATCAACTTTTTTTAATTTAATAAATATATATTATTGACATAAATGGCTCATGTTTTGCAAAAGCATGTTAAAATATAGAAGAAAAAAAATAATAAAAAATGTTATTAGTTTTATATAGATCTTACCTCTGAAATCTCTCTCAATTTCAACCACTATATCAAGCCGCTTAAAAGCTTTTAACTCTTTTTTTAATTGCTCCCATGAAAAATAACCATTTATTTGTTTCCATTTTTTTAAAACATTGTCAGCTTTCTCATAACACTTTATATAATCAGAGTCAATATTATCAAGATCTGAATCACTTAAGCCTAGGTGTCTTCCCCATCGATACCAATCACTTCCAATTTTATAGCTTATTTTACAACAGCATTTTGAAATTAATTCGTCAGAAGTCAAATTACTTCTTGACACTAAATATAAAAATTTAAGAGGTTGACAAGGTTGAAAAACAATTTATAAAATACTAATAAATAAAAAATGGTATAAATTAGGAATATCTCACTACAGAGTAATTTTGTAGAAGCAGACTTATTAAATATTAAATAAAGATTCACATATAAGCCATATTTGGTAAAAATTATAATAGATTAAAAAGGTTAAGGGTCAAAACTTTGCACTAAAAATAAAAAAAGAAACAAGAAATTAAAAAAGTAAATACTAAAACATCTACTATAAATATTTGGACAAAACAAATAAAACTAGTAAAAACGTGTACCTATTTCCTTAGTAGTGAAGCGATTTAGTAAGTTTCCAATTTTTTTGTATTAACCTTAAAATATTCAAAAAAACAACAATAAACTAATAAAAAAAACTAAAAAAAAGATATTTATTCTTTGAAACAGGTTGATAGAATATTTGTTATTCTTATTATATAATTTTTGTTATAATATTTAGTATAATTATATTCATTAATAAACTTTAAATTTCATACGATAATCTCTAAGCATTCAAAAAAGACTTTTGAGATAAATTTCCCTCAAAGTTTAAAAAACCTTTGAATTAAGAGACTTAAATTTTGTATGGTCATAATTTTTAAACAATGAGAGATTATAGTATTAATTTAAAAATAAATTTTTATTATTTATAACTTATGTATGTAAAACTTGATAAGTACTGGTGACTGAATACCACCTTGACATAAGACATTTCTAACTCCAAAAATTTGATTTTATTTCTTCCCATTTTATAAACATTTGTTAACTATACCAAAATGTGAGGGAAAAAAACAATATTTTTGAAAACACCTTTACCTTGTAATTTTCAAAATAATAGTCAATAGTTAGCACTGTCGAATGCTTTATTGAAACCTAAAAAAGCAGACAAATACATGACTTTCAATAGACGTGCAAAAATAAACAGGTTTTTCTAAGCAATTTGTACATGTTTTTGCGTGTTTCTGTTAAAACTCATACTGGTAACCTTCATCTTATTACTATGTAATTACTAAGCATATTAATTTTTTGCAATAAAATACTTTCAAATACTTTTGAAGCAACTATAACTCCACAGCTGTTCACTTTTAATAAGTATATCATTTTTGATTTCACTAGTGGAATAATTGTTGCTTTAAAAAACTTAGAGGGTATATTATTATTTTAAAACATAGGTCTAAATATTTATAAAAATGTTAAAAAAATAAAACTAAATGCGCTTTTAGTGCTGTAAGTATTAGTTAAAATATGTTTTTTAACTAAAAATTTTTAAAGGGAGTGAATGTTCGCGTCGCTTATGTTTAGAATTTTTTATTTAATTTACCGTTTTTTTGTTGTTGTTGTTGTTGTTGTTGTTAGTTAGAAAGGCTCTAAGATGTCCCAACGGTCTTATCACAGCGCACCGCGGAGGTGTCATTAACTCGGAAACTCCAATGATATATTAATATCATATCATATCATACTAGCTGATCTGACCCTTAAAAATACGGGTCTTTGTAAGTCTATTCCACATTCAGGGCCAGCCCAAACTACGGGCGGGCGCAGAAAAATAGAGATCGCATTATATTTATGCGTATCCCCGCAAATTTATTATTTAATGATCTTATTTCATTTTTATAAGTTCCTATTTTAAAATATTACAAATTAAAATTATTTTTATTTATAAAAATTAGGGTTGTTAACCGGAGGATTTCGTGCAATTCCGGAAAAACAACATTCTTTCGTAAGGAGATTGAGAACACGGAATTACACTTTTTCGTACCGAATGTTACAAAACATTTAAAATCGCCATGTTCATTTCGCAAAAGCCACTTCCGAAATTTAGCATTTCGCAAGTTGACATACGAAACAAAACTATTTTGCAACATACGAAAGTAGCGGTTTCGGAAGTCGCACTTGCGAAACAAACATTTTCGCCAAACGACGTTTTGAAGTCTATATAGAAAATTTGTTTGCCAGACTGATTTTAATTGTAAAAATTAACATCTTTAAATCCCAAAATGTTTATAATGAATTTTTATTTTCAGTATAATAACTATTAAATTTTTATGGTTTTATTTTTAGAAATATTGATAAAAAATAAAATTTCTTTCGAAACGAAAGTATTTCGGATCACAACATACGAAAGAATTCTTAACGGAAATAAACTTACGAAACGTGCCATAATAAATATATACAAAGATGTTTTTTGAACTCATTACGTATATTAAAAATAAGAATGATGGGTAGGAATATACATGTTTTTTTTTAAAGCATATGAAATTTTTGAAACAGGTTCGAATATGCTTAAGCAAATAGTAAAAAGAGGTTCAAAAATATGCTTTAGCTTAAGCATATTTCTGATAAAATATACCTATTTCAATAATTTCTAAAGGTGTGCACGTTACTAAAGTTCTAGCAGATTTTAAAGGTATGTAGAGTCATGTTTGAATACGCTTTTCGAAGTATAGATCTTAGAAAATATTGTTTTTTAATTTTAATAAGATATAAATTTAAGTATAAGATTGTATAGTTCAATCAGTTAGATACGTGACAATTCGCCGCAGAGATCCGGGTTCGCATCCCGCAGTCATTGTAACTTTTGTTCATCAAACTCTTTTTACTTAAAATAGCATTTTTTGACCTCCATGTTCAATATTACAGATCTTTCGTCACCTTGACAATAGTGACAACCTCTCTTCTGTTAGTTATTCTTTTAAGATTGAGTTCATTGTGCTTAATTCAACACGTTTCTCTTGCTTTACTAAGTTCTACTTAAATTATGATAAAATGTACGTAAAACAACTTTTTCAAATAATATAAATCATTTTGCTTTAAATCTTTTGCTTTTTGTACTAGACATCTGTCCTAAATACTTTGTAATAATTTCTAGCTAACTCTGAATCTAATATAACCATTTCTGAATATAATTTCCCTGAGGCTCCTACAGCCTATCGTGTTCCATTAAAAGTAACTAGTTTTTGAGTCTAGATATTAATTATAAGCATCTAAAGGTTCACATTACTATTCATTTTCCTGATATATAGAATCCTATTTGCATACGTATCTCTTTCTGTAAATTCTGTTTTATATAGTTTCTTAATTAAATATTAAATAAACATTACTATTCACTTAGTTGAATGAACGTATAGCTCATTCAGTTAAGACATTTGGCCGCGTAGACCAAGGTTCACATCCCGCTGTTTCACATATATTTCTTCTCTTTTTACTCTTTCTGATATCATTTACCTTTAGAGAGATCTCTCGTTCTTTATAATAAAGTATTTAATTGTTTATCACACATCCTCTTTATACTTTTTAAAAAGAAAGGCATACTGTTTATCTGTTCATTGAGAGTCCAACTTAACGGGATTTTACTGTATATATATGTGTGTATATATATATATATATATATATATATATATATATATATATATATATATATATATATATATATGTATATATATATATATATATATATATATATATACACACATATATATACAGTAAAATCCCGTTAAGTTGGACTCTCAATGAACAGATAAACAGTATGCCTTTCTTTTTAAAAAGTATAAAGAGGATGTGTGATAAACAATTAAATACATATATAGAAGAATCTCACCTAACAAATGTTATTGAATTTCCACAAGAGTACATAACAATCGTTGTTTTTCGAAATTATTAATGTACAGAAAATTAAATAATGGTAATCTTATAATCTAAAAATGGAAGTTTTTTGAGAACTGTTGAGCAAATACGACGCAACTTAAAACGAGCATTTACGACGCATTTCTTCTAAAGAATCTCATGTAACTTATTGCGAATAAGCAATTTAAAACGAGTTAATATCTTTATTGGCATCCGGAATATAAGACAATTCTTTAAGACGAGCTAGAGATGCAAAGTATTTTAGTATAATTCTAGACTGCACCCCTGAGTTCAGCCATACTGAACAACTCTCCTTTACATTAAGATTTGTTGATATTTAAAGCAATGAGATAGAGATTAAAAAATATTTTTTAACTTATCAAACTGTTGAAAAATCCACTGGACAATCTTTATATAAAATTTTGTAAAAGTTGTTGGAAGATCTAAATTTAATTTTAATGAATTGTAAAGGGCAAGGATATGATAATGGTGCAAATAAGAAGGGTAAAAATAGAGGCGTACAAGCTCGAGTTTGTGAAATAAATCCAAGAGCTTTTTTTATGCCTTGTGGATGCCACTCTTTAAATTTAGTTATAAGCGACTGTGCAACATCTTGTACTGAGCATATATCATTTTTCGAAAATTGTCCAACGAATATATATACTGTTTCCAGCTTCAGTATCGAGATGGAACATACTGAAAGATCATGTATCCAATTTTACAGTTAAACCTCTTTGTGAAACTCGATGGGAAAGTCGAATTGAATGTTTAAAACCAGTACAGTACCAAATATTGAAAATTTACGATGCTTTAGTAACTTTTAGTAAAACAGACTCTTCTGATTTTTCCATTAAACACGAAGCTTATACATTATCTGAACAGATAAGCACTTGGTAATGGTAATTTTTAGTAATGCTTGTTACCTGGTACAATATTTTAAACCGTGTAAATATTGTTAGCAAATCTATGCAATCTGCAGCCATGGATATAGCCTCAGTAGTTTCACTTATGAAATCATGTACAGAATTTGTGACAGAATATAGGATAACCGGTTTTGAAAGTTCCCTACTGGATGCAAAAGAGCTGGCTGAATCGTTTAAAGTTGAACCAATTTTTATTAAAAAATGTAACACTGTAAAAAACAAATGTTTGCTTATGAGGGTAGAGATGAGATTGTAGTAAGTCCAAAGAACAATTTTAAGAACAACTTCTGTTATATTAGAAAATGCTATAGCATCTTTTCAAGAAAGATTTTAAAAACTGAATGAATTTCACCAAACTTGGGTAACATTATATAATCTGAAGAAATTAACTGCGGGCGATGACTTACTTAAGTTTTGCAAAGATCTGCATTTGAAATTAAAAGTGGAAAATAATTGTGATAATGGCGCAGAGTTATTTGACTAATTAAAGTCGGCATCCATACTTTTGCATAAAGATATTCTTGGACGTCCTCTAAATATCTTGAACTTTGTAAAATCTAGTGGATTGCAAAATGTGGCTCCAAATATTTGGATTTCATTAAGAATAGTGCTTACCATACCAATTACTAATGCAAGTGGTGAGAGAAATTTTAGAAAATTAAAGCTAAGAAAAAACATTTTATCATCTTCTATGAGTGACTAACGATTGAATAACTTAGCTATATTGCAAGGTCCTAGACAATTTTTTTTGATGTTTGAGCTTAGCAACTTTGGAACATGAA